CTCCATTCTTTATATTTGTAAGAGTTGTTTCCATGGAAGTTTTCATGCACACATGTTTTTAATCAGACAAGATTGTCACTTCTAGTTTTTGTTCAGGCATTTTTGTTTTTAGGCCAACTATTTACTCCCACTAAAAAAAATTTCTTTTCTGTATAGACACAAAATTGTGGTTTTTGAAGACCACCTTGCCGAACAACTCTATGAAAACAGGTTTTTGGTGTTTGATTTGTTGTTGAGATGCTTAGAATAACCAGGCTGCAGTATTTATTAAAGTAAATTGATTAATATTCTTAATAGTAGCAGTGATGCACCTAGTTATCATCAGGTTTTATTGCATATTGGACTTTCTTCCTGATAAATTTCTATTATGCACCTTTTTCCCTTGGCCTCTGGCAAATGACTAAGAGCTACAATATTTTTTTTTTTGGGGGTAAAGAGAAGAATTGTCATCTCAACTGTGTCTTCAATTTCTCTGTCCTGCATTCTGTCGTGTGTGAGGTTATATAGGTTTTCATCTTTAGCAGAATAGACAAGAAGATGCATAAGAGCATTATTTCAACCCTCAAGTCTCTATTGTTAATCTTCTCCAAAGTTCAGGACTTTATTTGATATATAGTTGCACCGTGGTTCTCCGCAGAAGTTGGAAATTAGTTATGTATAGAAGTTGGACAAGATCTGTTTCTTGAATTTAAACGTCATTGCTCGTAGAAGGTCTCAACTTCTTGAAAATGGACCAAGGAAAATCAATAGAAGATCAATTCTCCAAGCTGCATCCATGCCTCCCTGTAAACACAAGTATTGGGATCATAGGAGCTGGTCCTAGTGGCATATCTGCTGCCTATGCGCTAATCAAGCTTGGTTATAATAATGTAACCATATTAGAGAAGCATCATACAGTAGGTGGAATGTGTGAATCAGTTGAAATAGAAGGTACAAAATGAACCAAAATGAGCTTTTTTCTTTTTACAGTTTAATGTTCTGTATGTCATAGTAGTGCCATATGTCAACCTGCAGGAAAGGTCTATGATTTAGGTGGCCAAGTTCTTGCTGCAAACAGTGCACCAGTCATATTTCACTTGGCAAGAGAGATTGGGTCTGAATTGGAAGAAATGGAGTCCCACAAGCTTGCCCTTATTGAAAGTTCTACAGGGAAGTATCACGATATTAAAGCTGCGGATGATTATGTCTCTATGATCGCACTGACGTTAGAACTTCAGGTCGGTTGCTACTTTCATTGCTGTTTTTGGACTTTTATATCAGTAGTCAGATTAAGAATCCATTTTACTTTTCACAGGATAAGGCGAAGGCTTCAAATCGAATTGGTGTACATGCTGTGAGCGACTTAGCTGCCGATTTGACACCAACTTATCTCAAGGATCATGGATTTAAATCTGTTCCACAATCTGTGGCTTATGGATACACTGCTTCTGGTTATGGATTCGTTCAAGACATGCCTTATGCCTACATTCATGAGTTCACCAGAACTTCAATGGCCGGAAAAATACGACGTTTTAAAGGTGGATACACAAGTTTTTGGAAGAAGATCAGTAAATCTCTTCCAGTTAAAGTCCTTTGTAACACTGAAGTAATGGCAATAAAACGTAATGCTCTTGGCGTCAGTATTGATGTGAAGAACATTAAAGGGGATTCTGAAGTTATGGAGTTCGATAAGATTATCATGTCAGGTGCCTTTCCTTTCAAGAATGGGAAAACATATAGATCACCAGTTCTAAATCATACAGGTTCGTGAAAGGCTTTAGCTTGCTTTTTTTTTATTTCCCTCCTTTCACTTTGTTTTCTCCCCTTCCCACAACATGCTCAACCAGGTATTTTTGCTACAGAAAATGAAACCGAAGTAGTGGATTTGAATGATCTTGAAATGGAGTTATTCAGTAAAGTAATGACAATTGACTACTACACTACAGTCTTGAAAATAAAAGGGCTAGAAGATATTCCTGTCGGTTTTTATTACTTTGGTGAATATATGGACGATCCTGCTACAATTGGACATCCTGTTGCAATGCAGAGATTCTTTGCTGATGCTGACATTTTCTTGTTCTGGTCATATGGCAACTTCCGGGATATTCAGGGAGCAACTGTCTGTGAGCTTGCAATAAAGGAAGTTGAAACAATGGGAGGAGCAGTTGAGCAGGTGGTTTTACAACGACGATTTAAGTATTTCCCTCATGTTTCTAGTCAAGGTATGCTAAAGCATCCGCTGCTGCTAGATCATTGAACTATGCCAGATGGATGCTGATATTTTAATTTTACTACAGATATGAAGGATGGATTTTATGAGCGCTTCGAGTCTGAACTTCAAGGTAAGAGGAATACTTACTACGTTGGTGGGCTTATGGCATTTGAGCTAACAGAGAGGAATTCTTCTTATGCAATTGCCCTAATCTGCAAGCACTTTGCAAATAACAATTCTTCACTAGTGTTTCCTTATGTTAAGGTAATATAGTTGTTACTTGCTTGAGGTAATTGATGATAGCTTAGGAAATTTATTTTCTGAATTTTTTGCTTAAAATCAGAGATCCAAAACCAGAACTTGACTTATAATGTGATTTTTTTTTTTTTTTTTGTGCAGAGTTTATTTCCATTGCAATCAGACAGTGGGAATAGGAATCCTAAAGAATTTGGTGAACATCCTGGAGTGGAATTCCCTGATCTTTCTACACTTGATGGCTATTTGAAGCACTGGGGAACTCATGAAGTCACTCAAAGCAAAACGCTTTACACCTGGATTAATGAAGAAGGGGCAGCAGTATGCCGAAGGACTTATGCCGAACTTCATGCTAATGCTTCTTTCATCGCTCGCAAGATCTTGACAAGCAGAAAACCAATCATCAGGCCCGGTGACAGGGTTCTATTAGTCTATGTTCCTGGTCTGGACTTCATTGATGCATTTTTTGGTTGCTTAAGAGCAAATGTGTTACCAGTTCCAGTTCTTCCTCCAGATCCTCTACAAAGAGGCGGACAAGCGCTTTTGAAGATTGAAAATATTACTAAATCATGTGGTGCAGTGGCAATATTATCAACTATTGTCTATCACTCAACAGTTCGGGCTGGCTTGGTGAAGAATATGATCTCATTGACTGGCAAAAATGGCAAATCTTCAGCTAAGTGGCCTAACCTTGCTTGGTTGCACACAGATTCATGGATCAAGAACTTTAACAAAGTTCTTCCAAATGACACAGCTGATCAACCCGAACCTCAACCAAATGATCTGAGCTTTTTGCAATTCACATCCGGGTCCACTGGTGATGCTAAAGGGGTCATGATTACTCATGGTGGGCTCGTTCATAATGTGAAGTTGATGCGAAAGAGATACAAGAGCACCTCAAAGACAGTTTTAGTCAGTTGGCTTCCTCAATACCATGACATGGGGCTAATCGGGGGACTTTTTACTGCTATGGTTAGTGGTGGATCGGCGATACTGTTTTCCCCAATTACATTCATCAGAAACCCCCTCATGTGGCTTCAGACCATGAGCAAATACCAGGCAACTCACAGTGCTGGCCCAAGTTTTGCTTTTGAGCTATTGGCTAGAAGACTTGAGTCTGATAAGGATAAGGCTTGGAACTATGATCTTTCTTCCCTTATTTTCCTAATGGTAGCTGCTGAACCAGTAAGGCAGACGACTCTGACAAGATTTATTGAGCTCACTCATCCATTTGGCCTTTCTCAAAAGGTGATGGCACCTGGTTATGGCTTGGCTGAAAATTGTGTCTTTGTCAGTTGTGCATACGGAGAAGGGAAGCCTATCTTGGTTGATTGGCAGGGAAGAGTGTGTTGTGGTTATGTTGATTCAGATAATCATGATGTTGACATCCGAATAATTGATCCAGAGACTGGAGTAGAGCTTGAAGAAACTGGAAAAGAAGGAGAGATATGGATTAGTAGTCCAAGTGCTGGCATTGGGTATTGGGGTAAGGAGGAATATAGCCATCAAACTTTCAGAAATGAGCTTAAAAATCACACTGGAAGAAAATACACTAGAACTGGAGACTTGGGACGAATCATTGATGGAAAATTGTTCATCACTGGAAGAATCAAGGATCTAATAATTGTAGCAGGAAGGAATATTTACTCAGCCGATGTAGAAAAGACGGTTGAGAGCTCATCTGAACTTTTACGGCCTGGTTGTTGCGCTGTCATTGGTGTTCCAGAGGAAGTCCTGTCAGAAAAAGGAATTTCAGTTCCAGATGGTTCTGACCATGTTGGCCTTGTTGTAATTGCAGAAGTTAGAGATGGAAAACCTGTTGATAAGGACGTCATTGAACAACTTAAAACACGTGTTGCAGAAGAACACGGTGTTAATGTTGCTGCCATCAAACTGATCAAGCCCAAGACTATCAGTAAAACAACATCAGGAAAGATCAAGAGATTTGATTGCCTTAAACAATTTACTGAGGGAACTTTGAATATAGTCCCAGAACCGATCTTTTCAAAGAGAACTTTGGTCCGGTCATTCACTTCTGGTACTTGTGCAGAAGGAAGAACACCTCGTCAGCTTCTCAGTTCTCCTCTACCGAGTCCAAAATTGAGAAACAAAGACATTATAGAATTTCTTAAAGGCCTGGTCTCCGAGCTAACTGGGATCCCCACCAAGAATATTTCTGCTACTGAGAGCCTTGTCTCATACGGAATTGATTCAATTGGTGTAGTCAGAGCAGCTCAAAAACTTTCAGATTTTCTAGGCGTGCCAGTTGGAGCAGTAGATATCTTCACAGCAACCTGCATTGCAGACTTGGCAAACTTCTCAGAGAATCTTATAGCAAGGTCTAAACCTGAACTTACGACAACTTCATCCCTTCGTCCTGAACCTGATCTCGACTCTGATGAGTTTCTTGTGGAGGTTTCCATATATCGTCAAGCAGGCATCTGGTTTTTACAGTTTCTGGCTCTTATCTTTGTGTCTTTCATGTTGAATGCGCCTGCATATTTATCAATTTCTGCATTCATGACTTTCACCTCAGTGAGCCATACAACAATAGATGGAATGCAGTGGCTAGCTTATTTGATATATTTGGCTTTAGCACCACTTGTTTGGATCCTCTGCATAGCTTCAACTTGCATATGCATTGCTCTATTTGGAAATCCTTTCTTGAGACCAAACTACGCCCTCATCCATGACGTTTCCGTATGGTCAATTGATTTTGTTAAGTGGTGGGCACTTTACAAGGTCCAACAAATAGCCTCGAAAGTTCTTGCAGAGCATTTGAGAGGAACAGTGTTCTTAAATTACTGGTTTCAGATGCTTGGAGCAAAATTTGGGTCATCAGTTTTGCTAGATACTGTTGATATTACAGACCCATCTTTAGTTTCTATTGGAGATGGAGCCGTGCTTGCAGAAGGGGCATTAATTCAAAGCCATGAGGTGAAGAATGGAATATTAAGCTTCCAGTCCATTAGAATTGGACGGAATTCATCAGTTGGGCCATATGCAGTGATCCAAAAGGGAAGCGTTTTGGGAGAAGAAGCTGAAGTACTGCCCCTGCAAAAGAGTGAAGGAGGCACACCCATAATCAGATCGGCTAAGGCTAACAACGTCCAACAAGTAAGTACTTAGCACTTTCAGATCTCCGGGTTTATGTTTCTAATCGAAAATAACATAGCTCATGATCAAGACATGTAGAAGTTACCATGACTGCAAAAGAAATATTATTGCATTAAACTGTTACGAATTCTTTTATTTAATTTTAGTTTTTATTGTTGCAACTTTCATCATTTACAAAATACATATGATGCAATTGTTTTCTTAATCAAAATTTATACGAGAAATACAGTATCTTGCACATATCTTTCATTTTTAGAAAAATATCTTGTCTTCAAAGACGACAATGATTTTCCTGTTGTTTCCTAAATCACTAAAATAACCAGCCCGACACACAAAGAGTGGAGAATTGGAGATGGATACTTGGAAGGATGGGTGGAAAAGATAGGAGTATAGGACTATCATAAATATTGAACTCAACACATAGAGCTTAGACAGAGTTTCTGCTACAAGCAAACAGCTTTTAACAAACTTAGCATTTTAGTAAAATGATCTAATTAATTGGAACTTCTTTCTTTTTTGCTGGCATAAGTTGGAAACTGATCATAGATTATTTTCTACCATGGTTTCAGAGTACAATCGTGTCAAATGCTATGCCAAATAAGACCATGTTCCACTTCATGGGCATCTACCTGGTCGGTCTCGTTAGCAGTTTCTCAGCCGCTATTCTGTACTTCCTGTATATCTGGCTCTCTAAACGTCCTCCTTCTCTTCAACACTTCGCGTTTCTTTGCATATCGGGAGCCTTGCATTGGATTCCTTTTACGGTTACTGCATATGTTACCATGTTTGATTGCGTCACTTTGAATCCAGCAAGCTTTGCCATCTCGGTTGCCGTTGCTTACTTAGTTCATGGCCTGATACTCAGTTTCCTTACATGCGCTTTGACCCATCTGCTTACTGAGAAACAGCAGTCAAAGCAATCTCATGTCAAGATATTCCTTAGACACCGAATTACCATTGCCTGCCACCTTAGATTTGCCAAGCTTCTCTCTGGAACTGAAACTTTTTGTATGTACTTACGGCTTTTGGGTGCAAAGGTTGGGAAACATTGTTCAATCAGAGCTATCAACCCAGTTTCAGATCCAGAACTGGTAAAAATCGGTGCTGGTGTTCATCTTGGTGACTTTAGCAGAATCATTACAGGATTCTATTCCCGTAGTGGTTTCATTCGCAAGAAAGTTGAGGTGCAAGAAAATTCAGTTGTTGGGAGTCAAACCCTAGTACTCCCTGGCTCCTCGGTTGAAAAGGATGTAATCCTTGGTGCACTTTCAGTGGCTCCAGAAAACTCAGTTCTCCAAAGAGGTGGTGTTTATGTTGGATCTCAAACTCCAATCATTGTCAAGAACACCAAGCATGCTTTAGATGATCGGATAGAAGAAATGGACGTGAAATATAAGAAAATAGTAGGAAATCTTGCCGCAAGTTTAGCTGCTACAACTTTGAAGGTTAAATCAAGATATTTTCATCGAATTGGTGTTGGAGGGAATGGCTACTTGAAAATAAATGACAAGATTGAAGGCTTTCCAGATCACAAGATTTTCCACCCTGGAAAGTCCTATCGTGTCGTGGTTAGACATAGCAATAGCTTGAGTGCTGATGATGATGCAAGGATAGATGCCCGTGGTGCTGCCGTGAGAATACTTTCAGGTGAGGTTGGTGATAACCCCCCACTCCTTGACTTAACACTTAAAACTGGCAAGGCATTCTATGCTCGCACTATAGCCGATTTTGCAACATGGCTTGTGTGTGGGCTTGCTGCAAGAGAAGAGCACGTGAAGCGAGTCCCACATGTCCGCGATGCAGTGTGGATGTCCCTTCGCCAAGCTAACTCATATGCAGAGCTGCATTACTACTCAAATTTTGTTAGGCTGCTTCGGTTCCCAGATGGAGAGGAAAGGTATGTGAAATTCAAGTTGAGACCTTTTGATGAAAGTATCAGTGAGGATTCTGGGAAGGTGGAACCTACTGGGATTCTCCCACCAGAAACAGGTGCAATTCCAAGGGATGAAAAAGACACCCGCCCCTTACTTTTCCTTGCTGAAGATTTCCACCGCCGCGTAAATTCTGATGGTGTTCGCTACATCTTCCAGCTACAAGTCCGGCCAGTTCCACAGGATGAAGCCACACGTGAAATTGCGCTTGACTGCACCAAACCATGGGATGAGACTGAGTTCCCATATATCAATGTGGGTGAGATTAATATTGAACAAAATCTCACTGCGGAAGAAGCAGAAGCACTAGAGTTTAATCCTTTTCTCAAATGCCATGAGGTTGATGTCATTCGGGCTTCGGCATCCTCTCAAAGTGCTTCTATTGATCATGGTCGTTCTCTGATCTATGAGATTTGCCAGCGCTTGCGAAACAAGGAACCACTTCCTGAGGCCTGGAAGGTCTTTCTTGAGCAATCTGATGTAAAAGTAGATCTTTCAGGCTGTCCAATAGCAGCAGTATTGGAGAAAAAGGACACAGGGAAAGTGACCTTAGAAAGAAAGTGGTATCAAACGTCGTGGGCGATTTTTGTCCAACCATTATTACAAACTGTGATTCCTTATTTCCTTCTTGGGTTAGCTATCTTTGCACCTTTAAGTTATGTTCTTCACACGAAGGGGTCACAGAAATTCCCACTTCATTGGTTGCTTCCTTTGCTTTGGGTTTCTTCAGGACTTGTTGCTGCATTAACTTGTGTTGTGGCCAAATGGGTTCTTGTGGGAAAGAAGAATGAAGGTGAAACAGTACAGATTTGGAGTAAAGGAGTCTTCATGGACACCGTCTGGCAAGCTTTTAGAACACTGGTCGGGGACTATTTCATGGACATGACTAGTGGATCTATTTTATTTGTGCTATGGATGAAGCTAATGGGCTCAGAAATTGAACTAGACCAAGGGATTTATGTGGATAGCATGGGAGCTTTACTGAATCCTGAAATGGTGGAGATTGAGAGAGGAGGATGTGTAGGAAGAGAAGCTTTGCTGTTTGGACACGTATATGAAGGTGAAGGTGGCAAAGTTAAGTTTGGGAAAATCAGAATTGGTGAAGGCGGGTTTATAGGAAGTAGAGCAGTGGTCATGCCTGGGGTGAGAGTGGAGAGTGGAGGGAGTCTCAGTGCTCTCTCCCTTGCCATGAAAGAGGAGATTGTTAAGTCAAGGTAAGGATTTCTTCATCATTGGCCACTTGTCACTTTTTTTGTGGCAAAAGTGACACGCCCTCTCAGCTTATAATGTAATGCAAATTTGCTGGTCTTTTTCAATAAATCAAGATAATTTACTGGTGAAACACACAACCTCTCTGTCTCTGGAGCTCCCGTAGAATCCAGAAAATAAAACAGCTCCGTCCATTAAAAGCCTAATACCAATGGTTTATACACAGTTTCTATGTACCATTAACTTTTGATATCAAATAAATCTTTTCATTCCCACTGGTAGTTGGCATGTTGTGATTTCTATATCCTTTTCCCACAATGAAATGGAGCACTTCTGGCTCTAATTATTGAAAGTTGAGTAGCATTCCAAGTATCAAAAACGTGAAATCTAATGGATCCTATCCCTGAGCAACTACTCATCGTCGACTGCTGCGGATGCAAAGCCAGTAGCTATTACAGCTGCCTTGCTGAAATGGCACCAAATTTCCGTGGACAATATTCTTCAAAATCACGACAAAGATGCTCATAGAAACAGGGGTATCGAGTCCAGATCTGGTTCACAGAATTTGAAGGTCATATGGCAGTGACAGTTGACATTGGACTTTGAGATTCCGATGGGAAAAAGACCAGTCACGAAATGGAAAATCCCTTGCATCCAAACAAGGACAAAGCCTAGATCAAAGCATTGTATAAATAAAAAAAAAAAAAAAAATTTAAACAAAAAAACAAACATAGAACATCCAATTTGACTTCACCTCTCAACAAAATGAGAGTTACGAGTTATCGTAACACAATTGGCATTTGCCAACCATATTTGCTTTACAATTTCTCTTCACGGAAAACACAATCCTGGAAGGACAAATCAATGATACATATAAGGCACGGGCTACCATCAAGGAAGCGATGGTACCAATCAGCAGCCAGATCTTTTTTTTTTTTTTATATTCTTACTCGGAGCTGCCTGATCATATTTTCACTATACATGAAAATTGGTTAAATAAATGTACACAATTTGGATTCAAAACATTCAAAATGGTCCAACCATGTTTGCACCTCCACCCCAGACCAAGCTTAAGTCTCCTGCATTTCTTTCAAGGACCAATCACTAATTACAACAACTAATTAAATTAACATACAAAAAAAAAAAAAAAAGTTAGATAAGATCGTAAAGGGCGCCTCCCTGCCTGCTGAAACCAGCTTTGAATTTGGAAAAGATAGGCAATGACTGAAAGAAAATTGCCTGATTTTCAGTTAACCAGCATGTGATCAAATCCTGCACCAGCCTGAAGAGTTGGCACCCGATTCACCCCAACATTGTGAAGCAACTGCTGTAGCCACCTCCTAGTGGTTTGATCTTCCTATAAACATCAATAAAGACAATAAGGGAGGGAAAAAAAAAAAGAACAGACGCATTGGTAAAGATAAGTTTTCCATCACCCAATTAACAAAGATAACCCAGATTTCTCTTTTGAAACATGCACAGACATCACTTCTCCAAGAATGATAAGTTTAGATGGAATGGATTTAAATAACCTCACAAAACAATGAAGAAAGAAAATTTCACAGGCAGCCACAACCAGCAGTCATCAATGAGCACAACTCAATCAAGCCTTTATCTAAAACAAACTTAAACCAGCAACAACATTCTGTTACCCATTCTGGTCAACTATGGGCCAAATCTTCCTAAACATCTGAAGATGCTAAATCCTTATAAGAAGTCAACAAAAAGCGAACTTGTTAAACTAGTGTGACAATGTAGATTTAACATTCAAGAACACTATCACCACAGGTTGACAAACAACCACAAGTTATAAGATACACCAGTGAAATACTGAAACACATCAATTTGAACATAACGAAGACTCCCCACTTGGCAGATATGTGAAGTAAAGACCAACTTAAACTAGGTCAAGAAAAAGATTTTACTAATAGTACACACCTTTTCATTTTATAGTAACTTAAGTGCAAAGACTAGGGATCAATGACTTCCATAGTATTAGTAGTATTCTTCTTTTGAGTAAATCAATAATAGCATTTAACAAAACTAATGGTTGAACAAAATATTCTATGTAACATCAAAGACAAAATTAGTCAACTTAATATCTATAAGAATTGAATTTATAATGTTCCTAAACTCAATTCTACATTTTTTTTTAATGTGAAAAAAAGAAAAGAGAAAGAATGGTTAAACATATTCAATTGACTTGAAATTTGACTCAAATGAGAAACATAAAAAAAAAAATTAAATATAAGTCAGTGTAGTTAAATATAGATCATAATGTCACAAATTGGTATAAAAGTTAGTAACTCTGACATTTGACAATTATTGACCCTCGAGTATGTACATGACAATACCTGAAAATACCCTCGAGCTTCTCTCAAAGATGTAATTCACCCATCCATCTTTTATTGCATTCAATTAAGGCTACATACTCATAAATTTTGTACAATTGACCCATTAAGGAATATGCATAATCAGTTAAACATGATTAGCAGGCAAAAAATTAGTTTAAAAAATGCAGCATAAAATTAGGTACAACCACTTGGATAACAAAATTTGAGAAAAAAACTTGTTTCTTTTTTCTCCTGCCACCAGTCAGCTTGCTTGTGCCACACACCTAGAAAATGACAATAGCTTTGCTCTTTGGCCTGAGTCTTCTCCAAGAACCCTACCTCTCTCTTAGGCTCCATACTTTTTTAATTCCACTCTACCACTTTTCTCTCTATCTCACTTTCCCACCAAACAAAAATAAAATAATTACCACCTAATATAATTATCTGATGTATTAAGTTAAATTCTTTATATGATAATCCTGATTAATTTTCTCTCTCATAGTTATCTCCTTTACAAATCCACGTGGACACTAGATTAACCAACAAAACCAAGCAAATTAACAAGCTGAACAAGACAAAGGCCAAGTTTTAGGTCTTTCTTTCCCTCTTTCTATGGTACAATTACCAAAATCCAAATCCTGTTGCAAAATCAATCAAGCACCAGAAAAGTTTGAAACGCATAAGAAGCAGTTTTATTAAGCTATGGTGACTTTTTCTATTTTTAGCTTGCAATTCAAATGATGCAAAACAAGTGCTGATAATTTTTAAAGTTTATACTTCTTGGATTTTTAGAGATAGCCCTAACCCATACTGGGCAAGAAAAGAGAGAGAAAGAAGAAAAAGAAGAGCTAACAAGAAAGAAGGAAAAAAGGAAAAGAAAAAATTGAATATTTTTGCAAGTCAGACAAAAATAGTAGGAGTAATATTTAATTTTTACTTTAACTTTTCTCTAGGAAATACCAATGTGGCTGACAACAAATCATTATAAATGCCACATGACGGCAAACAAAGCATAACTAGGAGTTAGTCTAGTTGTTTTAGTAGACTATTACACACATCTTCATTAAAAGATTATGCATTTAAATAGACTTATATATGTTTAATTGAAGGTAATACGAGATGGTGACTTGTATTTTTGGGTGAAATCCAAGGGCATTTTAGGAATTATCCCATGTTGATAAATGAATGCATATGAAACAGGATAACTATAGCAGAACTCTTCAAGGTTAAATACAATTTGAATAATGTGAATTTGATTACAGCCAAAAATAAAAACTATAAAAATGAATTAAACGTGCAGTACTTACACGAAGACAAGTACTAAAAGTGGCATCTCCTAACATGTCTGGAAGGCAACTTCTTAATGCATCACAAGCCCTGTATTATGAACAAAGACCCAAAAACATGTAAATTTAATGCACAAACCTCAGAAACAAAACAATTGAAAAGGAAAGAGAAAGAGAGTGAGCCTAAAGCCAAAATTTGACAAGTGACCGTATGACCAATTTGATTAACGAACCTCGGGTTATCTGACAAGCGAAGATAACATCGAATAATATGTTTTAACAGTCGTGAAGAGGGTTGCTCAGCAAGTGCTGCAACCATATTTCCAAGAACTTGACCAACCGCAAAAAACCGCTCTGCAGTAGTGCAAATATAGTCCAAGCCAACATCATCTAACAAAATCTTCTGAACTATAAAAGTGGCAACCTGCCATCAAACAATCATTTGTCACACTTCAAGGAAGCAAGAACCTTACAGATAATCCCATGAATTCAGGTTAACCACTTAATAGAATTAACTACAACAGAATCAACTCTAACAATAAGGTACAACAGCTGTCAAGTGCACATCAATTTCAGATATTTCGAGGTTCAACAAAATCTAACGCCTCCTATGCAGCTCGAGTCAATGTCTAAAAAAGGGGTGGGGACAAAAAAGGAACAACTGCAAATTGGCGATCTCATTACCATATTTATTTGCTGGTATATGACTAATTCTTTGAAGAGTAAACAACACAATGAGAACATTCAAAGTCCCTTTGGAACTAGTCATGCTAGACAAAACTCAGCAACCACATAAGAAGCAAAAGATATAAACCTCACTATCCCAATTTCTTAATGTGAAGATAGTTGGCAAGATTTGTATAGCAAAATTTTGTTCATAACTTAAAAGACATCTTTGGAGAAAAAGGGGCATCAGCTAGGAATAGCAAAAGCCAACCTACCCAAATGATCACCTCAATACCAGCCCAACCTAAAATTAAGAACTCAAAAGCCTAAACCTAAACCCAAATCCAGTTCCCACGTATAGTAGTAACAGTGGCAATGCATGAATCAAACACCCAAACTCCATTGAGTTGAAATGATTCCACCCAAAACCGAACTTAACCCACAATGGAGACCACCTCTGGCATCAACCAAAGGGGGTCTGACCAACAATACATGGCACAAACATCGGCCCCAAAGACATGCTATCTCAACCCCAAACTGACTTTAAATATAGAGTAAATGACAAGACACGCTTCAAGATGCTAGAAACCAGAAATTATATATTCTAATTAACTTTGCAGATATATAATTTATGCAAAGTTGAAACATTGCATGTGTTGCATGTGCATACTATCAGGTGTGTACAGGCAGGACTTTGCCTAGTCCAGGTCCAAGAAAATTTTAAAATCTACCTTAGGCCAAGCTTGAGTAGAGCCTAAATTTTGATACACAAACCATCCATTTAGTACAAAACTTAAATTAAAAATATATATGGTGTTATAAAAAATTTAATAAAGCATAATGAATGCAAAAAATATGCATTACAAAATATTTTTTTTGGCATTGTCATGGAAGAATGTGTCCAAGTCTGCCAAAAAAAAAGCAAATTTGGTGTATCCCACCCATAATATGGACTGCAATTGCAGGCCTGGGTAGGCTGCCCTTACATGGGCACCTCCAGCCATGCATGTCAGTTATCACATGACTCCACCCAAATTTTGCTCCTTGAATAACAAACATATTAAGATGGAAAACATAGGGAAACATAAAAGTAGATAATTCAACCCAATTGGAAAAGAGAAGTTACAAAATCAACAAACTCAACTGTTTTCGACAGTTCGCTACCCATCTCCATTGTGCGCAAACACAGCGGGATTATTTCTGTCGAAAGAAGGAAACTAATAACTTCTGTATCATCAACCTGCAAAAGAAAGAAATCATTATGAAGACAACATTTATTAATAACAACAAAGAGATAATTGCTAGTTTTGCTCAAATTTGACTGCTATAATCTCTCTTTCCTACACATTAAATGTTGCAAGCAAGCAAATATTATTACAAGTAATAAGCAGAAATACTTTAATAAACAAAACCCAACATACAGAGCATCTATTGCATCCTCTCAAATTTGGAAGACACTAAATTAGAGAAAGCAAAGGAAAAGAAATATTGTGATTTTCTTTTCTTTCTTTTTATACATCAATTTTCATTTTACAAGTGGAAAGACACTACTAACTACCTAGAAATTAAAGGACCCTCTGAACTAAAGAGATGAACCACAGCACATAACAATGGGGCAACTCACTAGTTCATGTAGTTCATTAGCTCCTAATAAGCAAGCAATGGATAATTCCTACCGGCAAGCTGAAACTTCAAGTGACACATATGAGGAAACCAAATTACAGACAAGTTTCAAGGATAGCTATGTAGCTTTTTCTATACACCAATTAATGCAAGTCTCATTGACAATAAGCTACAGAGGCTGCCATCCAAGTTTATTATCATCTGTTGCAGATCATGCAAAGTCCCTCTATCCTATTTTCAGCAGTGAATAAAGAACATCTTTGTTTTTCTCTATGTTTTTATCATAGATCTTATACAAAGCCACTTCAATTCTTCCCATGATCATAGACCATTGCTTTGCCTTTAGAATTCTTTCACACTCTTCTAGGATCATGCATTTCCTTCAGCTTAGCATGTTCTAGTAAAATGTATAATGGCATTGCAATCCATGATGATCACATTGCTGGCAACTCAATCAACTTAAATCAAAGCAAGAATGAATTACCTTCACCAAGGCACCAATGACACCTAAGCTAGTAAGCCTCAAGTACTCAAAAGGCCTTGATTTACTAGTTGTATTAAGGAAAGGATACAGATACAGGGGTATATGAGCTGCAAATGGAAAATAATTAGTAAGAGACATCAATTAGAACACATACAATTTTATATAGGTGATGTTAAGACTATCTGTCATTCGTTAATGTAAATACAGGAAGAAAGAACATAAAATCATGAAGACAAAAGCATTTAAAATTTGCCAAAGATATTGTTTTATAGAGAGGAGACAGAGAAGGGGAGAAAATAACACACTAAATAACCAGCAATGGACTAAGCAACCAACAGATGATGTGGAAACACCAACATAATGGAACCCTCTACGAACAAGATATGCACACAGCCCAAAGGGCATAGGGTCAGCAGAGGAAAGGACTTCTAGTTCAAAGCTACCTAGAAAATATAATGACGCAAATGTTCAACATAAATTCAAGCTTTCTGCCTTACAACCTCAGAATTAAGAACAATTAAGAAACCGATTTACACCCTCTGTCAATATTCTTCTCTTTTAAAAAGCTCAAAAGACTAAGAAAATGCATTAAATTATAGTTGACAATTTTTTTAGCAGTCTTTTCGGTTTTCACTGAACTTACAGTTGAAGTAAAACTATAAGAATTATGGAGGTGCTTCTACTTTAGCACAAAACCAAATTTAACAAATAACAACATAAAAAAAAAGGATTATTATTCTACATACCATCGTTGGAGTTTTAAAATCCACAAGCAAGGTTAAATGGTTGCCTACATCCATTTAATATCAATTTTCATAAATGTCCATTTAACCCCACTTGTGGAATTTTAAAAATCCCACTACGGTGTATAGGATAATTTTCCTTAAGAAAAGAAATCTTATAGTGAAAATAATATTTCAAGTATCAGTTAAAATGTTTATTCCACAATCTCAAACGGCTATTCTCTCTCCCCAAGGGATATTCCACTTCTATGATTTTAGCAACAGGAAACCTCAATCGAATGACTTGTACCCAGGTACTTAGTGGCAAAAGCATTATGACAGCATCATTATTTTATTTCAGAGGATAATCCATAATTAATCTCACAATGGTCTGACATTCAACACAACTTCAAGAATCAATTTAAACAAAAAACAACGCACAGTGAAACCAGTAACTATCCTGTCATGTTTTAAGCAACAAAGTACACAACTCAAGACCAAATAAGCTCATCAGCTAAGAACATACCATTTAGGAATAACATCCTTGTGTCTGGATGTGAAGCTACACACTGTAAGAAAAGATGAAGGATCATGATGCATTGGCAGTGCCTTTGAATTGACAAATACGATAATAAACAAAAATTGCACAAAACTTTATCTTTTTCCCTTCAACATTAGAGTAATAAGTTACTATTAGTAAAGTAAAAATTCAATATAACAGAAGCACTAGAAAAGGCCAAAAACATATCACCTGAAGTAGAGCAAGGGCATTGCAAACTCGATTTGATTGAGCTGGAGTTAGATTTGGAGGTGAAAGAACAGGATAAATTGAAACTATCTCCTGCAAAGAAAAATGGTTTAGCATCAATGAATTTAGATAGAGTATGCCCCTAACCATGATAATTTTTCAATTTCCAATTTGCAACTCAATTAATAAAAGAATACATAAGAAGCATCTAGCATGTCTAAAGTGTTCATTAGACTCAAAATGACAAGAATCCACCTGTTTTGACAAAAAAATCCATGATTTAAAATGTTTCCATGTAAAATAAAGTGTATGATAAAAATGTAAAATAAACTAAAATTTCAGTTTACATCAAATATACCCTTGTTTTGAAGTAAAAATTGACTTACGGATTTTTTTCCCCAATAAGTCAGTTTCTCATTAAACAAAAAGTAATAAGCCTTTCTACCATATCCCCTATTTATACAACCACTTCTTCTACCTGTTCCTATCCCCTTTCTTATTGAATAGGCCCTATTGAGTGATATTTGAAATAATACACACATCTGAATGAAATTGCACCAGATAAGAATTTGAAATACTACAAACAACTAAGAAACAGAAGGAACTCATATCTTTATGTTTACGGCGAAAATGTTGAACATTGTAAAATCTCTTAAAACAAACGAAGCCCAAGTCAAACATGGAAACACTCAAACAGTACACTGGCACATCAGCAGTAATCATGCAGACATGCAATATGCACGGATCTGGTAAAATGAAGCATGTTAACCAATATGCATAAACATAAACATATCAGCTTTCATATTCTAGTTTTGAAGAAATAATACCATTACATTTCACTTTAACTTCGAAAAATGTTTTAGATGCCTATCCTCATTTTCATTGACATTCATCTCCAACCTTACAGTACTAACACATCAGAAACATGAAAGACAGCAACTTCCTAAAAGGTATGCCCCATAATTAGAGCATAGAAAAGAACAGCAGTGGCATCAATAACTCATTCAAGAAAAATCATCAAATGAACTGATCAAGTTCTCTATCAAGCTCAATCGAAGTCAGTGAATAAGAAATTACAAAAATTGCAGAGAAAGAGAATGGGTATGAAAGGAAAGAGGGGAATAATTTTGAACTATCAACTATAAATAACATACCTGTAAAAGGGCAGCAATAGTACCAAAAGAATTCCACAACAATGGAGCCAAATCTTGAAATAATTCTCTCTTCTAAAAATAAAAACAAAAACAAGTTTATTAGGCATACCTGTATGAGTGCAGCTATAGTACCAAAAGAATTCCACACGAAAGGAGCCAAATCTTGAAATAACTCCTTGTTCTAAAAAATAAACCAAAGGTAGACACTGGTTTATGGTAGTAACAGACAAATTTTGAACAGCTAAATTGCATAACCGCATACAGAGAAAGAACATTAGAGAAGATTAAGTTACAGATATTAACCTAATAAGCTTTATGCACAAAAAAAAAAAAAAAAAAAACCCACTAATCTGGGGCTGTTTATCTTATTTTTAGACCTTTATAAATAACACTGAACCCAAATATTTTATTTTTAAAGATGATGACCCTAGATGATAAATTCAATTCAATCAACCACCCAAATGTCCATATTACTCGCTTTGATGAAAAGTTGATTAATTTGCTACTCTCAAGGTAGGACAAGTATTTCAACCTCAATATTCAGAAGATAATGCATGCAAATGTAGCTAAATGAAATGCTAAATGCTTTACAATGAAACCATAGGCATTGCATGAGAAAACTTATAATGCATCACAAGAAAAGGAGAAAAAAGAAAGAGCCGAAGCAATTTTCAGTTCCCAACCCATCATTCCTTAGAGAATAGATATGAGAGCATTATCTTAAAAACAAACCAAATGCAGAATACATAGGATCTCCTTCAAGGCCATCGTTCCTTTAAGAAGCCAAACATAAGAAAGGACATGCAATCTTCATACAAATAACTAACCCACATATTAAAAAACAAGAGGATTGGTAACACTTGAAACCATGCAAGATAAAGAGTAGATCAGCAAGAAGAGTCTAAAATTTTTAAGCTCTATATGGAACATATTTAACACATTCTTAATTCTACCCTCTTCTAATTCAATCCAAACTTCTAATAATAACTGTTCTCCATATTCTCATTTCGTCCAAATTACCATTATCATAATTCAATAGTCCTTATCCTCCAAAAACACTGTCGTTTTCTCATACGTATTCATTTCCACACACCATCAATGACTACTTTGCAAAACCACGATAACTCCCATTAATGTACGTCATACCCATTTTCATGAATTTTATTCTCTTCAAAATATAACCATCCATAAACCCAAAAATTAATCAAAAAATGTAACACGTTTACAGGAATTGGTTTCTGCCTTTCATCTTAGATACAGTGCTGTTTCTATTCCTATCCCCATTTCTATAATCTTTTTTTTTACCTTCTAGAAATAACTCAAATATAAAAAATGACACCTTTGCATATAATTTCAATGGGTTTCCTCCTCAACTAAAAACAGAAAAAAAAAATTAAAATTTACCCCAAATTTTATACTTTATTTAAACCAGAACCCCACTTTGTCAAACACGGAAAAGAGAAGACAAAAAAAACCATCATTTGTCACCAAAAAACAGAACCATCATTTACTCAAATTCTATAAAGGATACAAGTTTTTGTTAGATTAAATTACCTTGGATAGTTCGAGAAGAGCGTTTTCTCGGAGATCAGGGTTGCTCAGATCGAGAACCAAATGCTCCGCCGATTCCATTTTCCGATCCTTATTCGCCGGAGCTCCAGCGGCAGCTAGATTCGACGCGCTGGGCCCCCCATAAGATGCGTTCACCGATAGAGATTGAGGCAGATTTACCATTTGCATGAATTACAGAAATGGAAAAAAAAATAGAAAGCAAAAACAAAACCTTTGCTTCACTTTCTCTCTTGCGGTTTTCTTTTTTATTGAATAATAATGAATTCTTGTTTTGAATGAGGGAAAGAGAGAATATGAAAAAACTAACAAAAAATTCTATTTGAGTTCAGACACTAAAGAGTGTTAAAGCCACGTACATTTCTTGCGCGTGAATCTCTTTGGTCGTGTCATCCGCGAGAGCTAGGGTGCAGAGTAACGGAGTTTACCGTTTCAGAGTCTCGTTGTCTTGTTCTTGTCCCCATTTTTTTTTTTACTATTTTTTTTTGTGTTTTTTAGTTCAAAATATTCTTATGCTTTACCAACATTTATTTTCTTATTTTAATTTAATAATTTTAATATAATATAATTTTGTTAATTTTTTGTCATTAAAAGTATTAATTTAGTTATTGATTTATTGATGTGATATTGATTTTACTGATATAATATTAATTTATTGATGAAAAAATTTGAATGAATAAAATTAATTATTAAATTATGTAAATAATTTTTATATTTATATAAAATTTTAAATTTAGTTCATATACTTATATAAAATTTTAAATTTAGTCTCTTTAATATAAAAATATTTTGAATTTTATAGAACCTTTTTGCTTTTTAAAAATTTAATACTTTTATAATATTTTAATTTTTTTAATTTCATTTTTTGAAATTTTTTGAAATATTTAAAATTTTAGATAATTTTTTGAATTTTTTTTGATTTCAAAGTTTAACATTTTATTTAATCAAAATATTTAAAATTTTTCTTTTAACTTTTTTAGAATTTTTCTAAAATTTTTTATTTTTTATTTTTTAATTTTTTTAAAAATATTCTATTTTTTAATATTTAAATGAAAATAAATAAATAAATAAACTATAAAAAACATGACTTTTTAGAATTTGTTCTGTTTGGTATATTTGAGATGAAAGAACATAGAAATATTAGTAAAACAAAAAAAAATAATGAAACACAAAAAGTTTCCTAGTTTGATTTATTTTCATTTAAATAAGTTTAAAAAATGTAAAAATTTTAAAATTTATAAACTCTTTCTTTAAAACATAAATTATTATAAAAATTTTCTAAAAAACATAAAAGCTAAAAAAAATTAATATTTTTATAAAAATTTCAAAAAAACAAAAATAGTAAAATTAAATATTTTGTTTAAACAAAATGTTAAATTTTTAAAAAGTACAAAAATTTTCAAAAATGAAATTAAAAAAACTAAAATATTGAAAAAATAAATATAATATTTTTAAAAAAACTAAAAAATTTATAAAAAAAGTAAAATATTTTTTATATTAGAGGAACTAAATTTTAAATTTTATATGAGTACAAAAACTAAATTTTAAATTTCATTTAAGTATATGAATAATTTATATAATTTAATAATTTATTTCATCTATTCAATTATCAAGTCAATAAATCAATGTTACATCAGTAAAATCAATACTTACATTATCCGATCAATGGTCATATTAATATTTTTAACCATAAAAAATGATAAAATTTGTGATTAAACTAAAATTATCAAATTAAAATAATATGAAAACTAAATTTATATGAATTATAATATTAGGATTAAATTCTAAATTTTCATAAAATATAAAAATTTCTAACATAATTGAACCATTGTTTGATAGGAATCAACAAGGCAAATATTTTTCAACTTTAACCCTTTAATTTATATGAATTTGCAATTGAATCCTTATCTTTCTGTTTGATAGTGTAATTTAAACTTAAACCTTAGACTCTAATTTTAAAATGATTGAATCGTGTTTTGAATAAAGACAATTAATCAATTGTATCATATTTTTCTCATAAATCTAGACCCTTTTTGTTGAAATTAATTTAATGTGACCCATATGTTAAGAAATTTTAAATTACATGTATTTTTCACATTCAAGTCCTAAGGATATATGTATCATTAATTACATAAATAAAGATACATATATAGATCCACATATTTGACGAAAACTAAAAACATAAATTTAGTCAAGATTATTTAAATAATTATTTTTTCTTTGATGGTGGGATACAATTTCAAAGAATCACTTTCGAAAAATCCTCTAACTTAGCCTATAAATATGTAATTCATGAAACTATATCATCAAAGCTAATCAAGTTAAACAACTAAGTGCATCAAGTGAAAATAAAGTTTCTAAGGTTTTTGATATAAGTCAGAAGGCACTTTTTATAAATTTAAAATCTATTTGAATGAATAATGAGATTTATTCTAATAAAATTAAAAATAATTATGACAATGAAATTAATTACTACAATAATTAGATTAAGTATTATAACAATAAAATTAAAATTAGTGATGAAATATATGTTTAAATGCAAATACTACTGAGGTGAAGTGTAATAATAAAAGAAAATGATCATTATGAATATTATATTAAAATTTGTATAGAATAAAAAATTTAGATCATTCGACATTTATGAAATTAATAAATTATTAAAATTATTTTTATATCAAATAATAATTTTACAAATAAATTAATAAAAATTAATAAAAATGATAATAATATATCAAATATTTTTTTAATTAAAATAATATTGACTTGTCAAGTTATAATATAAATTTAAATAATATATAAAATCAAATAATTAAAAAAGACAAAATCAAAATTTAGAAGTCACAGGGACATTTTTGTCCCTGCATTATCGTTACAAGGTTAATAAAGAAAAATACGAAAACATGGGTGAAAATGGAAAGAAAGATCAGGTGAGGGGGGAACATTTCCACTAGAGCCTTCAGGATTCAATTAGCTTTTTAAACTACAGTGTAGGGGTGAGCATATATCAGTTCTAACCGATTTAACCAACTAAAATTATGAAATATGGTCATTTCGGTTCAGTTTAATCGATTTTCGGTTGTAATCGATTTTAAGATCGGTTAAATTAGTTAAATCGATTGGTTATCGATTTTTAAAATTGATAACCGAATTAACCAATCTTATAATAACTAAGGGTAAATATGTAAATTCTCTTAAAAAAACCTAAATTTAACTTACTTTTTTTAACTCATCCACCCACACCGTTTTCCCCTTTCTGCTCTTTGTTCCTCATCTATTGCAGCTTACTGTGTCTCTACCCTTTGTAGTTTGCTCTCCTTCAATCTCTTGCATCTTTGCCTCCTTCTTACTCTCTTGCTTGGCTAGTTGCCTCATAATCTCTTGCTCCCTCTAATTTGCTACACAATATTAGATAGTTGTAGAGATCAATCTGCCCAAGACGCCATCGTAAGTTTTTAAATCTTAATAACCTTTATTTTTTCTTTTAAAGTGATGTTTAGAGCTGTATTCTTCCTATATGTTTTAAGCTAAAGCATAACCCAAACAGCCAAACCTCAACCCCAGGGTGTACCCACGGTAATGTTTTTTTTATTGGTATTTTTTAGTACCTTTTGTTGTTTAGAGTGATTCGATAGATTGACCCTATCTCTAGCCTAGAAGGAATAGGTCTAGGACTTTCAGTGGCTTGTTTACTCCTCCAGTTGATTGATTAGGTTCTGGAACAAAAAGATCAAAAGTCAAAACCTTCCACGCCTCACGCTGGATTTACAGTATCTATAGCAAGTTGTGAAAATACTCCTTTTAGTCGAGGAAAGCACTTTAACTTATAAAAATGAAGAGAGCAAGATTTTCACTAACAGTTTCTACCAGTTTCGACTTGCTTCACTAAATTACCAAAAGAAAGCAACAACTATTCGGACTAAGATGATGTGGACTCAAGAAAAAGTAAAAGGAAATGCTATTTTCTAGCATGGAGGCCGACTGGGGAAACCAATTAATGTGTGGTGAAGTGCACCTTTCTCAGATTGATAAATTTTATCTGTTGATTCAGTTAAGTTTATTCCCCAAGCAGAATTCAAGCTCTGCATTTATAAGGATACTACAAATGCAGCTAGAGACCAGGCAACAAATGCTACTTAATCAACTCAAGAGTCTGCTCAGCAAGGACAACAGCAGGACTGCTTGGTTTCCTTCAGCAGGTTTCTTCTTTACCTGTCGTTCCCTTTCATCAATTCTTTTGCTTTTCAATAATAATAATACCTCATTTTAGGGTACATTAAACAAACAATTGATAAAGTTTACGTTATTTTGAGCTTTGGTTAGGAAACTAATGAAATAGAAATTCGTACTGTTACAGATTGGAGAGCAAATGAAGGGTATGGCTCAGGGTGCTGTGGAAAGTGTGAAGAACACACTTGGAATGAATGAGAAGAAATGAAATCAAAGGATTGATGAGATCATTTGGTTATGAAATGAGATGCAGCTTTAATAAATGCAAATTTTGTTGCTTTTTTTTGGTAATTTAGGGATGACTGATGGTATGGCAACATGGTAATGATGTGGACTAAGACGATTCGAGGATGATCCCACAACTCATAAGCAAAAGACAGAAATAGTTTAAGTGATTTACACCTTAAAGTAGAGTGTGTAAATACTGGATGTATACATAGAGAAATAAGTTTAAAACACAACTACTCGAGAATAAAGATTTTAAAGAAATCTATTATCAAAGATCTAGCACTTTTAAGTTTTAACTTTCTTACTAGACTAGCAACTAATTAATCTAAATTATGCTAGATACTTAAATTAAAAGTTTATAATAAATTAGCCTAAACTATGCTAGGAACACTTTACATTGTTTGTTGATAAAATTAAGCCAACTAATATATAGTTTTGGATTAACAAACTTAGTTTCATTATTTGAATATCCAATGTGTTCAATAATTGTGTGAATATTACTTTATTATTTTTTCTATTATGGGAATTATAATTTTTATTTTTTATTTTATATTTTAATATATAGTAATTATTTATTTTTATTGTTTTTGGATATAATTTAATCACTTGTTTTTTTTTTTTTTTTAAGATGTCAAATGAAGTGAATGATATGATTTTGGATTCTCCAACTAATCAAACACAATTGGCCTCTCAACTTCCTGCATATGATGTGGTAACAAAAAGTGAAACTGTAAATTCCAAAGTGATGAGACGAGCATCTAAGCCATGGTCAGAAGTATAGGACCACTTTACTAAATTTGTTAATGAGAAAGGTAATCGTAAAGCTAGGTGTAATTATTGTGACAGAGAATTTTTTACTGATCCTAAAAAGAATGGAACCATCACTTTAAAGAATCACATGAATTCTTGTAAAAAGCTTCTTCGTGTTAGTGGGGATGATGGTACTCAAACAAAATTGGTGTTGCCGTCAGGAGGAGTGGAATATTTAGGCACTTA